AAGATTAAAATTCTCTGTGGCCACTCCGACCCTGTGGAATCAGCTACCCCCAGATGTCCGGACCTCACCCTCCCTCATTGCCTTCAGAAAAGCTGTTAAAACCTGGCTGTTCCAGCAGGCCTGGGGCTGTTGACCTTATTATGTAGGGTCCAGCCCCAACTTGAATGTATGCGTGTTGGAGAATTTTAATCTTCATTTTTATTTTATTTTGTTTGTTTTCCTTTCTTGTTCTGTGTAAGCCGCCCGGAGTCCCCCGGATTGGGCGGCCTATAAATCTAATAAATTAAATTAAATTAATTACATTTAGGAACCATGGACTTGTGTAATTTTAGAAGAACAGCAATACTTGAAATCCATGGTCCTTATCTTTTAACTTTGTGAGTGAAGCAACTCCAATGAAAGCTTTTAGAGTTTTAATCTATACAATGCTTAATAAATCATCATAAATAATAAAATGGAAATGCATACCTTGCTATGAGGATCAGCAAACATCCTGGTGAAGATTTCACACAATCTTTTTAATTCAACACGACTGCCAAAATGACAAAATATAACTTTAGTAAAACTTCAGAGGGATGTGATGAAGAACTTTAAAAAAAATCTATGTCCTAATTTAAAAATATTTGCAATTCCACTTTTTAAAAATATAATATGTTGATGATCTCATAAAATGCAAAAGAACTTTTAATAACACATTGCCCTGTATTATCTTCCATGTTTTCCCAAAAATAAGACCTTGTCTTATTTATTTATTTTTTGCCACCAAAAAGGACCCCAGGTCTTATTTTTTTGGGAGGGGATATCATCCATTCATTTGTGGGTGTCGCTCCCAGCCTCTTTTTCGTTATCAGAGGCCTTCAAGAACTTCTTTGTCCGGCAAGACCAGCAAGGATTTCCTGAAGGTTTCTGCAGCCAATAACAGAACTCCGGATCAATCCAGAGCTCTGTTATCAGTAAGAGTTAGGGTTAGGATTCATGAAAGCATTGCCTGCTGCAGCAAAAGAAGTGGGCTAAGGTGTACAAGGCCTGGCTGTAACTACCCGAAGATAAGTAGTAGGGCAAATACCCACCCTAGCTTAATTTTTACCTGGAGTGGGTGGGGTCTTAGTTGGGGCTTATTTTGAGGGGTAGGGCTTATATTAGGTGCACAAGTAAAACTCAAGTTAGGACTTCTGAATAGGTCATATTTTGGGGAAAACATGGTACATAGATAATATTCTATTTCTAATCTTAAAAGAAGATTCTGCAGAAAGTACAAGTTGGACTGATGTTTTATCATATAGCTATATGTCCTTAAGGAAAATAACAGCATGGTATTGTTTTGAAAGGAAAAAGCTTTATTTCAGAGTCAGCACTGCAAACATTTATCATATATGCCCTCTTAAGCCATTTTACAGGTAGTCCATTACTTATGACCATAACTGGGACCACAGTTTCTATTGCTCAGGTGGTTGTCAAGTGAGTCAACTGATTTTTATGAGCTTTTTTAGCATAGTTGTTAAACAAATTACTGCAGTTGTTAAGTGAATCACTGTCGTTAAGCAAATCTGGCTTCCCCTTTTGCTTTGTTTGTTGGGAACTGGCTGGGAAGGTTGCAAATGGAGACCACATGATTTTGGGATGCTGTAATTGTCATAAATACATGCTAGTTGCCATATATTCAAATTTTGATCATGTGACCATGCAAATGCTGTGATGGTTGTAAGTGCGGGACCTATCTATAAATCACTGTTCACTGTGACTATTCAAATATGCAAATAGTGGCTAAACAAATGATTGTAAGTTGAGGAGTATCAGTACTTGTCTAAAAATTGCTTTTTTAAAATCTCATTTTCCCCTTTGTCAAGTCGTTATGAGGTGTCCTTAATACAACAGAAATATTCTTTCAACAAATTATGATAAGTCACATAAAGAGCCTCATTGTTCTTTCCATCCATGCTGTCCCTGAGCCATCAAGATCCTTCCTGAAGGGAATTCAGCATGGATCCTTATTTCTACCTTAGAAAATAGAGAATACTGGGTCATGTGAATAAGAGTTGCAAATGATAGTATTGCTAAAACAATCTATTTCCTGGTACAGGATTTTCCTACTCTAACTGACTCTTGGCACCCAATTCCATTATTTAACAAAAGCCTAAGACTAAACCAGAAAAAAATCGCACTTCTGTAAAAATCTTAATGCAATGAAAATCACATCTGTATAAAAATTAAGCTGAGGGTTAAGTGCAAGTATTTAGATATTTTTTTCTGCTATTGCTAACTCCTGCAGCTGTCCGGGTGTACGTGTTTCACAGCCAAGTTAGGGCATACACCTGTTACGCCAGGTCCAGACTCTCATTTTGGATTTTACCCTAGTGGACTTTATGAAACAACTTCTGAAATAACTTGTGGTTTAGCTGATTGGAATATTAGATTGGAAAGCCACTTCAGGTTGAGACTAGTGTTGTTGAGTAAAACTGGAATGGGTTGAACTTGCACTAACTCTGAATACCTGTGGCATTATGGCACATTGGACTGCTTAGTATCTGACAGCAGGAACAGCTGTGATTATAGCTGTGTGGGTGGTTGTTGGATTGATTCCTTCACCAGGAAGGTTGAGGGTAATAGTTTGACACACCAAAGATTGCACATTGGATCTAATTTTTGTCTTAGGACAAGAGATTTGCTGTTGGAATACATTATTGCCAGTTCTATCATGGTCAGATCACTCTGCCTACTTTTCAGTTTGCTATTATTGATCCCTCCCTCCACCTATGGTCTATAAGCATGCTTTTCTGTAACAATGCATGCCCTCTGGAACAGCACATAGAGGTCTGAATGATCTCTCCTCTCCTCCTTGAAGACCTGGTTCTTCTCCCAGGCTTTGGTTAATTCACATTAACCATTTTTTAATGATTGTTTTTATTCTTTATTTTTATTGTTTGCTGCCTGAAGTCACCTAGAGTCAGGTGGTCTTATAAATATAATTTAAGATTATAAATATATGTTTTCTACTGAAAGCAACTAATAAGATTGAGACTAAGATCTGCACTATTATAGGGAATACTTTTACATCTGAGTACAATGAAAATTAATTTCTTACCTTAATGTCCTCTGATTTTTTAATAAATTTTGTAGACCAAGAAGACCTTCTTTTCTCTCTGACCAGTTGGAGCTTGCACAGCGGTTAAGGACCTCAGCAACATCTTCTGTCTGTCGCATGTAGGTGGGTATTGTGCCATTTCGTGAGCTATAGGATCTTTCTGAGCAGGCACTGGAAGCATCACTGTTAGCATCATCATCAGAGTATATTCCATAAGATTCATACCTCCTTCGAACTGGCTTTTTCTATTATACAGAAAAGAAATAATAAGATAAACAATGGCAAAATAAACTTTTTTCAGACAGTTCAGAGATTCAGTTTTCCAGATCCTACTAATATCTTCAGGCTTCACTAAAAAGAGGAAATGCTTATTGTTATTTATCTGAAAAAGGAAATATTTAAACTAAAAATCTAATTAAAATGACATTATCCCCAATCATTATTACAACAACTATAGGTAAGATAAAACACAGCAGATGTTCTAGTGATTTCACATTATAGCTTGTCCTGTTGGGGCTGCATTACTTAAAAAAACCCATACAAACAAATATTTGGAATTTACTTAAATTTAATTTACATTTAAACCCATATAGACCTATTTAGAATGTTTTGGTAATTTAAAACATGTATGTAGAATACAAATCCTATTTATCAAAATAGTGTTTTGTTTATATATTATAAAGTTTGGGATATATATATATATATATATATAATATTAATAGGAAAACAATAATAGTTATACCTTTGTCCGAATGTCTCCTAACAGCTGAGAGCATTATAGAAAAAACAAAGGTTATGAATACAAACATTGAGTAGCTTGTTAGCAAATATGCTAAGCAGGTAGAATCAGAATACAGAGAGAGGGGAGGGAGAGAGAAAGAGAGAGGGAGATGATTTACAACACAAGATTCCAGTTTTGATATAAACTGAATTCCTGTTGAAGTCATCAGATTATTACTGTGAGATCAAAGAGCAGAGGGGGAAAAACTGAGATATGTGAAGTAGGGCTTATAAAGAAGGTGACATGTGTCATGAGATCTAATTAAAATATTATTTTATTAACTCAGCTGGATTTCTCAGCCACTGATTTGTATTTATATTTGTTTTAAAGTGTGTAATTAACACTCTTCTCTGCAAAATTATGCATAATCCTCTCACACACAAGTATCACAGAATCCAACACATTTACATGCAAGACATTATCTTTTTTCTTATAAAACAGGTAGAAGACAAGCTAGGCTGGGGTTTCAAAGAACACCGTCTTAAGAAAAACATGCTTATATAAATAAAAAGAGATGTACTAACATTTATTAGGAAAGGAGCATGATTTAACTTGGCAGAATAAATAATCAAATTAGACAATAAAAGATAAAGCATAAGAAAATAAAAATCCTACTTTGTTATCCCCACAAAAACATACCAAAGCATCTGCTACTGCTTCTTCAACATCGGAGCCTGTGTTTAAGACACGCATGGCACTAACTGATGAAGACAATCGGCTTGATTGACTAATTCCAAAACCTGAAATAAACAGCATTAAAAAAAATCAATTAATTTGACTTGACTTAGAAAGTTTAATATATTATTTTAAAAAGTGGAAATATAATATTTATTTGGAAAATAACAAATATCTGAAATATATAAATTCTACCCCTTTTGGATCCTTACTACTAATCCCAGATGACATTTGATTTATTAAATCAGGAAAGTGTAATAGGCTCTAATCTAGAAAACGTTAATACATGCATATGAAGCAATTATATCTGCAGTTAAAATTCTCCTTCAGTTTTTCAAAAGTACCTTTATTGTTAGAGGTGAAAATGACATTTTTAAGGATTTGCTATAGTAAAAATTGCAAAGAAAGCTTGGTCTAATACCAATTTCCAATATCCAATTTAAGTATATAAGTTGTAGCATTTACATGATAGTCAGCTATGTATCATTATTTTCTCCTCCTCCCTGAAAAGAACCATGTTTATTAAATTGAGTTCCCAAAATATCCTCATAAAATTAAATTTCACTGTAATGTTGACACTTAAATGCAAATGTAAATGCATGTTATTTTACAGTTATTTTACTGCAGCTTTTATAATATCAAAACAAAATTCTATTGATAGCCTAATTATATAGGAACTTAGAGACTGACAACTTATAGAATCTCTTATTAAAATGTGTTCAGTCTTGTGTTTACTGGTTTAGAAATTATGAATCATATTAAGGAACTTGGTCAATATAAGCTGTATCATGGTGTATGTAAAAGCAACATGCATTAATAAAGCTTTAGAAATAAAGAATGAAACAAAAAAAGGAAAATTCATCTTAAATTAGGAGGAGAAAATGTTCAGGGTATATGGAATGAAAGCATTGTTTCATATACTTCAATTATCCCAAAATTATGAATACAAGCTAATGTAGAAAACAATAAAAATAGACTTTATGAGAAACCAAATATGGTAAAAAGTAATCCAGGATGATGGCACAACTGATAGCAAAGAGTACTCATCCTTCACCTGTAGCTCCATAAACATCTGGAGAATAGAGAGCACCAGTAGATCTGGAGTGATGCCTGGAAGCTATAATAACAGGATCATATGAACCCTCTCTGTTATTATAATAATACAGAACAGGAAAACTGCAGAGAAAGCAATGAAGCAAGTTCTAGGCAAAGTGAGAAATCAGGCTACCTCTGGAGACTGATTTTCATAGTGAATAGTAATCAAGGGTGAAATTACAATGAATCTTTGTTGTGGGACAACTAAAACAACTTATAGGTTTATAGGTTTTATAGGTTTATAGGTTTTATTAGCATTTGTAGGCCGCCCTTTTCCCTGAGGGGACTCAGGGCGGCTCACAGAAAACCAGGGAGAGGGGAATACAACATTAAGACAACAACATATAATAAAATAGTAAGCAACATCCATTCATCATTCGGGCGGGGTAGCGNTATACTTCCAGAAAGCCACATCAATTTTAACAGCATCTGTACAAGTATAGTCTGAAATGCAACACTATAAACAGTGTATATCTTATGTATTGTTTGCTGTTTAGTGCAAGGAGGCAAATTGATGGGAGGCAGAGGCAGATTTCCCCACCCCCCTTGTTTTCCTCCCCAAAAGCTAGGTATGTCTTATATTTTGGAGCATCTTATACTCTGAAAAATATGGTAAGTGGCATGTAAGTGACAGTGGATACTATCATTTCACTTATTCTTGTGGCTACTGAATGAAAAACAAGGGTGCAGCAGTCTTGTCTATGTTCTCTTGGTTGTCTATGTAATATTTAATCTATGACTGTCCCAGAACATATCACTTGGAACTATATTATGAAAAAACAGACTAGTCCTTGACTTACAACCATCTGTTTGGTAGCTGTTTGCAATTATGACAGAATTGAAAAAAGTGACTCATGATCACTTCTCACACTTATGACTACTGTACCCCTATGGTCATGTGATAAAATCTGGCATGTATTTACAATGATTGCAGTATCCTGGGGTCACATGATCACCATCTGCAACCTTCTCAAAGGGTTTCCAACAAGTGAAATCAATAGTGAAAGCCAAATTTACTTTATGACCATTGTAAAAAAGGCTGTAAACTCAGCTGAACTCAAAAACTATCTATTTAGTAATGGAAGTTCCAGTCCCTACTGTGGTTGTAAGTCAAGGACTGCCTATAAAAACCATTTCTAGACTTGCTTATACCCTAAACAGAGTAATAAAGTGCAAAGCAATTTATAATTTTATAAAGAAGATGCAGGAGTTGTAAATAATCAGCTTTAAATGTTGGCATGAAATCATATTCTTTGTTGTTAAAATACTACTACAATTTTTATTTAGTTTAAGTGTTTCTAAGTAATATTCACTTCATCGCAGACACTGCAGAAGCTAAGGATATAGGACAGCTGTTCATCTTAGAAATTTACAGACAATACCATTGAAGTTCTTGTTAAATTTGTAAAGTATACTGAAATAAAAATGGATTGAATCAAATTTTGCGAGATAACATACATAATTAATATGTGATTTAATTCATGATATAAATCCAGTGTACCATGCAAATCATAAAAACAATTTAGTCACAATTGATTAAAACAAGTATAGCAAAAGCACAGTGACTATTTTTCATTGTTTAAAATACAATCTGCTGCAGTCAAAATTAACAAATGGATATAAAATATACTGCATTATATTTTTAGGTGTGCACATGTACAGTCATATATTCAATTCCTATGATTCTATGTATCTTTTTATTAGAAAGAAACACTACCAAAATAACAACATGTTATTTTTTCTGAATTAAAAGCAACTAAATCTTAATTAAAATAAGTTCATAAGCAGGTGTCAGGGAGTACCATTGTACTGATGGATTTCACATACAAAAAATGATGCTTTTAATTGGTAGAAAAAAAATAGTTTTATTTTTTTTATTTTTTTCAGGGAATTTCAGGGATAAATAAAACTATGCATTTAAAAAAAAGAAATATTGATAGCTTTAATCAATAATACTTAAATCAAACTTGTGACATTAAAATATAACTAAAAGGAATAATATTTTTGTTAATTCAGTATTCATCTGATTTCTTAGAAATCAGAAACTCAAGTCAATAATTATTATGGTGATGTAATGAGCCAGTTAACAGGTTAGCATGTTATGTGTTAAAAAGAATGGACACTGGAAAGTATGCCAGAATCATAAAATGAAATACAGAGTTTGAATGCCTATGTAAGATTTGCCCATTAAGTAGTAGGATGAAAAAAAAAATCAAATTGCTAATCATTATTCTATTCCTGTTATATGATTGTCATTTGTCATTATATGGCAGTAATATGATATAAAATAACCTGATATAAAATTGCAATCTGATTTTCTTCAGAAACATATATATTGAATAAATTAGCGATGTATGCAACAGAAGTTTAGAATTACTTATGCATGTACCTTTGGATTGTTCAATTACTCTACAATTCCACAGGAAATTTTTAAGCTCCTCAGATGGATAAATTTCTTCAGCCAAAGTAGGCAAATCACATGTTTTTTATGTGGGCAAATATTTACTTGTTATTTTTACTTCAGCTTATATTAGCAGATAATCAGGAGCAAACAACCATGCATAACAAGCTTTCCATGTACTTACCAAGGGGTGCAAAAGAGCGGACAGGGCTTGTATCCCTGCTACTTTCCCGACTGGCTTCCCGACTGCATCCCTGACTTACACTAGGTCGAGGAATGCGACTACCTCGAGCTAGTATGATTCAGGGGACAGACCAATAGCAGCACAAAAAGGGAAAAACAGAAAAAAAATCATATTTTAATGTAATCCCAAGTATTTTACTTTGTATAATACTGAGCATTCTTAAAGCACTATTATTTATACATACATACATACATACATACATACATACATACATACATACAGTGGGGCAAAAAAGAATTTAGTCAGCCACCAATTGTGCACGTTCTCCCACTTAAAAAGATGAGAGAGGCCTGTAATTGACNACTTACAGCTCTCATGGCCTTGTCCACATCCCACATCCCACTTATAGCTCCTATGGCCAACCACTTGTATCCAACTTTCTGCCAAGGTATATTCAGAACTGAGCTACTAAAAAGTGTTCAGAAATACTATTAGTGGAAACATCAGTATAAAAAAGTAACAAGGCTAGTGGCTGAAATAAATATGTTTACAGGACTCTTTGATTATTTGAAGTAGATGCAAAGGAGACTGTAAGTAATGTTGGGGATGGAAAGATATTATTTCTCTAATTGGATTTAATAAGATATATATGCTATAGGAACTGATCAAACTACAAGGAAGACAAAAGCTAAAAGTCCTATGGGCACTGCTATGTTGTTTGTCTGACAAGAATATGGAACTCATTGCTACAGGATTCATGAGGAATTTATCTCTCCTACTTTATTTGGCTAGTTCTTATCCCTTCAAACTTTTCAGATCAGCTAAGCTTAATTACATTGAAAAGTTTGAAATGACAATTCTGGGGAGCGGTTATTCACAGAAGCACTTTTGAAGCAGGTGGAGTGCAAGAACCGGTTTAGAAGATTGGGTCCATGATGATTGCACTTACCAGCCAATTTACACACAAAATGAGTCAAAGCAATGACTCATAACATATGATTTTTTAAAAAAATTAAAAATTAGCTCCTTAGCTACTTTATATATAGATTACTGTATTTTTCGGAGTACAAGATGCAACTCCCCCCCGCCCCTGAGAGAGGGTGAAAATCTGGGTGTGTCTTATACACTGAATGTAGGTCCATCTACCCACTGCCCCCCACCCTTTGGCCTCTGCCTCCCAGCAATTTACCTCCTTGCAGCAAACTGAAAGAATGGGGCTTGCGGAGACTGGAATAGGCTATGGCAATCGCTGCAGCCTGAAACAGCTGACCATCGGGAAGCCGGTGCTTAAACTGAAATTGAAAGTGAAACTTTCTGTTTGCTGGGAGGCAGAGGCAGTTTTTTTCTTCTTCTAATCAGGCTAAACTGAAACAGGCTATTTGCTGTTTGCTGCAAGGAGGTGTCAATAACTATATATGTCTATATAATGTTCAAATTATTACTTATTTTTTAAAGACTGCTTTATTATTGTTTTAAACAACTTAACAAAATGAAAAAGCTTTTTAAAATAAATGCTTGATCTGAAGAGGCCCAGTACTATTGTATCTTCTTTTAAATAA